TCATTGACCAATCAGATTGCTCAAAAATAAAATATAAAATTTGATTGGTCAATGAAACAGGAAGTTAGGAACTTTTTAAGGAACTTGTCCAATTGTTGAGGAATTGTTCAGAGGTGTTCCTTCAAGTTAGGAAATGAATTGGTCAACATTTTTCGGAACGCTTCTATTGGCACGACTATAGGAAATTATCAATATTTTGAGGGATCTTAATATTTGAGTGATCTGGGAACAGATTTTGTACCCAAGATGTCTGTCTGTTTCCATTGTGTCCCACATCGAACTGCATTGGCCATATGCCAGGGGGGGGGGCACTGCATGTACATTGGGGTGAATATACAACTTGAAGGTGTTAAATTAAACAAGACTATAGTGATGTAACATTTCAAATTCGACTACAGTATGAGGACTTCGCTATATTGTGTTCCAGTATCAGAAATGGAAAATGTTACCATTAACCTATTAGAGTGCGAGTCTCTTCCCTAGACAAGTAAAATTGTCTGGCATTAGACAGAGTAAAAGAATAAAGTAGGGTGCATTTTTGCTTAATGGGTTAAGGTAACAGTTGACCAGGTGTTTCCCACATAATACTAATGACAACCATTACATGCAAAAATTTAATTTAACTACAACTTTATTTACACAAAGTTATATTAGATGTCTATAACATCATTTTAGGTGGTGTGCAACAGCAACCAGTAGACAAATTTAGCTTACATGAAAATTAGATTCAAATGCATCAGCTAAACAAACACCACGTGCATGAAGTTACAGTAAAATTATTTATATCTTATTGTCATACAAGCTCAATTTGTCTAACCCCAGATAATAAAAAGTGAAAACTAGCTATAACTAACCTAATTTATTTGTTCAGGTGATGATATCAATTGTCAAGAATTTAATTGTGACATTATTCACATTGACAAGTTATCTTCCATTTCTTGGAAAATTCCACAATTTCCAGTTATGACACTGGAATTCATTATTGTACATTTTCAAAGAGGAGGCAAGATTTATAAAGGTGTTTTTGAAAAAAGTAGGATGTCAGATATTCAGGTTGGGTCATTCCCACTGCCAAATTGAAATCGACGGTGAAAACTATGTAGTGTTGTGGAAACTGGTCAAATCAAAGGTAACCCACATCGAAGATACTTTTCAACCATCTGATTCAAATGAACAGTCTGAAAATGGAGAACATATTGAAGACCAGTTATCTGACACCTATCATTGTTTGCCATTTAAAGTTCTTGGAACATGTTACAGTTCAGATCGACAGAAATCCCTTGATGAAGCATACTCATATCTTGAAGAGTACAACAGACCAGTTTTTGTAAAACTAGAGGCTGAACCGGAAAATGCTGTTGATAGAAATGCAATCGCTGTGTATGTAATGTCATCAGGAGATTATGATAAAGTGGGCTATATAGCAAAAGAACTAACAAAATATGTCCACCCAGTTCTCAATGACCCATCTCTTGATGTTACAGTTAAAAAGATTCGTTTCTGCACAACTTATCGATTGATCGGGTTCTACTTGACAATTGATATCACTAAGAAAGGGCTATGGGACAAAACAGTGGTCACTGCAAGCAAAAAAGTAATGTAAGTTCATTCTGTAATAAAGACATTGTTTTAATTGCCCGGTGTCTCTTGTGTTAATGGGGGTGGAAGTGCCACAGGTTCCCTGTGAAATTTTGCTCTGGCAGTGAGCTGTCCCTTTTGTGGTAAGGATGCCCGGTTAGCAACAAATACACCTGGGTCTCCACGTCTTGACAGTTTTACATCGTCAAGCCTCTCCTTGTCACCATTGCCAGATGGCTCATTAAATGATGGAAGCTCGAACTCAGTGTAACGTTCCTTGGCTCCTGTCCAGTAATAAAACTGTAACTCAGGATCTATCCTCTTGCTAAATTCATTCAAAATCTTTGGCTGTGCATCACTAAACTGTTTCATATCAAATATGTCTCCAAGCATATCATGCATTAGGCCAATCATACCTTCAACATCATCCGTTGCAGATGCACGAGGGTGTTCAGGGGGGAGACCTCTCTCTTCATACTCAATGCGCCGAAGCTCCCTGCTCTCCAAATTAGCAACAAGACCAATTACAGCCTCCTTGGTCAAGCCACAAATTCCCTTTATTTTCCTGTCAATAATTCATTAAAAAGTCATTTTTAAAAAATAGTATCTAAAATTATATATAACTGTGTAACTTCGTGTCATAACTTTGTTGCCATTTCTTTGAATTATGACTTTTCTGGCAGCAATTACACATATTTCCAGGCTTTCTAGTTCTTTCAGACACAACCAATAGGAAGATACATTTACCATATATACATTTACAATTTAATCATTTCAAATTAATGCCGAGATAAAATTGATTTAAAGCCTGCCAGCCTGGCTCCCTGGTCAAGATCATATCAGCTGTTGATATTTTTTCATAATCAGAAAGGACTGATTTGCATGCACATCATACAACCTGATAGGGTCAAGACACTCAGCAAGGCTGATTATATTCAAATTATTAACAGGCAATATGACCCTTTATATATTTTTACTCATCAAAGGGAGACAATGGGTCCTTTAATTCTGGTAGTTGCATTATGTAACATCATCACAAAAGGAGACATATTGTATTTTATAGCAAAATATCTTACCGATTCACATCAATTGTGCTGAAGTCAGGTTGATAACTAAACCATGGCATCCAATCATCCAGCAACCACTCCTTCATCGCTCTGCAGTACAAAGACCTTTCTTCTTCTGTAAGCCCTCTTCCATCCACTGCCTTGTGCCAGTTGTGAAGACGTTTGACAACATTGGCGTCTTTGACATGGCCATTCCGTTCCAGAAATGCAATGACCCCAGGATTAATAAGGCGCTCACAGTCTGGAACTGATTGCTTGTTCTTTCCTGTGAGTGCCTCATATGTTAAGCCTGTTGTGGGGTCATGCAAAGCATCTCTGAAATGTTGTAAATCAATGCCAGGGATATGACCTCCACGAAGACGTGACACAATGCGTTTCAGAAGATGATTGTGGTCTTCTCTATGATGGATTCGTTCTCCATTTTTGTCTTTCTCAGGCTGGTACAAATTCTTGCTAAAATCAGCTGGATCAGTAACGTGATGCTTGAGATCATCTATCCTTTTCCGGTAGAGAAATATCGCCAATATTGATTTTAATATTTCTCCAGTTGTTTCAGGTCTTCCTATAAAGTTCACATGGAAACATATAGTTTACTAACATACAACCATAACAAATAATTTGACAGCCCAAGGACTTCTAAACTTGATATGAAATTAAAATTATGTACCTTCTACCCAAGGGTGTGGATCATGCATAAATGGAAACAACTTTCTCCTCAAAATGTATAGTGCCCGATTAAATGAGACTGGTTCTCTTCCATCTTTCATGTATTCATTCAGCCATATCACTTCTTCCAGAGGAACAGCTGGATTGCGAGATAATGGTTGTCCTAGCAAAATAGAGAGAAATGTCAGAAAGCAGATTTTGTAATATAATTCATATTCATAAAATGTGTTCTAATTTATCCCCAGGCAGGCAAAGGCATAGTAAAAATGAAAGGTGGGCATTGCAGCTAAATGAGTTATCAAAATACATTAATTAGCAAATAGTTGGTCAATGCTTGGCCCCAGCCTAACCCCCAGGGAATTATTAATCTGTGGCTCATTTCCTCTTGACCAGTAAATTTGTCCATTCAAATGAGTAAAATCTGGTATTAGACAATGTACTGTAATAACATGGATAGGGGTGCACCGGACATGGTATCCAGCTGGCTGGTGACAAAATTGTAGTTAACACGAAGCTCTAGGAAGATGTTCTGTGAGTCTGTGACTGGTTGATTATGACAATGACAAAAGACGTAACTGGCTTACATAAACAAAAAGAATATTGTTATTGCTTCATTCTTTAGAAAATCCATTCTATAGCTTATTCTTTTGTCATTGTCATTGTCATAATCAACCTATCACAGAATGTCTTACTAGAGCTTCGTTGCCGACCCCAAATTGTAATGTAATAAAATGTAATATAATATAATCCACAAATAATTTCAAATATGGTCAATATATGATGCAGATAAAAAGAATGAATTTGATTATTTCTTGAGATACCTGGCAAATCCAGTATACGGCCGGATAGTAAAAATAAACTATCCGGTGCACTCCTAAACATGGGATGCATAATGATATTGTAATGTTATAGGAACATATCATAAGCATACAACTACCTTTCTCGTCCAATGTAAATAGGGCAGTGATACTTTTAACTGGCATTGCACGTGCTTCATTTTTTGCATCTTTAATCAGCTGAATGACCGATACAGGACGGTTAACCCTACCAGTTCGCAACGAATTGAACTCTCCATCAGTTGTGAAACCTGTTGTAGAAGAAATGAGTATTGAAACATTACACACAAGTATTTACATTATTTTTTCAAGAGCAATGGTTCCTAAAAATATTAACCTTGATGTTTGAACTGAAGTAGAAAGCATGTTCTAAAGAATGATATAGGCAGGTGCAACATACTGTATATTACAAGTAAGTTATCAAAAGAACAACTTCATACTGTAGTCTGGCATAAAAATATAGTGGTTCTTTTATGCAGGTTTTTATTGTGCCTCTCATGTGACAAACCAAGACTTCAGAATAATCACATGAAACATAGCAAGTTATGATGATTTTACCTACCTACAACAGGCATTCCAGCACTTCTCATGATGTTTTCCAGTTCCATCTCAAGCTCCCTTAATTTGGCGTCTGTTAGTGACTTGTACGGCATGAAACGCACAGGAATGGCATAAGGCTTTTGGTTCCGTAGTTCATCAGATATCATGAAGACCAACAAGTGGGTTGCAGCAACACGCTTTTTTTGAAAATAGACCATTTAGATACTGCAGAAGTTCACCTTTTACCAGCAACAAATCCACATTATCATCACCACCAAAGAAAGAATTCAAATCTTTCTGCAACCCCAAACATTTCTTTAACAATTCCTCAAACCCTACAGCATTCCAAGACAACTCCATCATGGTTTGCTCGGATGACTTATTCTCATCAACTGCCTTCACGTAAGCCTTATTAGAAGCTTTTGCACCAATTGTGAGAAAATCTAAATCATTTTTCAGGTCAGCTAACACTTTCTTCATATCACTACAAACAACTCCTGACCTCTTAGGATTACCAATGACCATTACAGATGAACGTCTTAGCTTGTAAATATTAAACAATCTTTGAAGTGACCCATCTCCTAAATCTTCATCTCCGGACCAAGTAACCCTCACACTTTCCCTCAAACCCTTCCTTACATCACAACCATCTGCCTTAATCCACCATCTTCCTTGTGGTTTCCCCTCTTTAGCTTTATTGAGTGCCTCCATCTAGTTTAAAATATTGCAACAAAGTGAGGACATAGATATCTTATAGTGCATATAATTATTCTGCAATTATATAATTGTAATAATTCTGCAATTCAAAAATTGAAGCTGTGATTGGCAGCTCAGGGTATTGCCATGAAATGACAAGATTGCTATTTTTTCTATTTCTTAAACAGTTAAACCTATTCAAAATACATTTTTAAACTATTCAAATGACAAAATATTGGGGGTGGGGGTGGATGGGATTAGGTTGCCAACATATGATCATCCTTTGTACTAATAATTCTTAGTTCTTTGAACATTTTTACCTTAAATTTCATAGCTTAAATATTAGCCTACAGATGATTTTATGTTTGAAAATTATTGTTACAGCTTTGTCAAACAGATTGTCAGCTAGTGTCCACCACTTGCCCTGAGATGCCTTACCGTAAGCCCCCCCCCCCCGAATATAAGCCCACCACTTATACTAACGCTCACCTCATTCCAAATATAAGCCCCCTAAATATAAGTCCCCCGAATATAAGCCCAGTAGCCCACTACGTTACTCGACATTGACATTGTCTTTTAATATAGCAGAGAACCGTTTTTGAACAGATTACCATATTTAAAAACATTGGCATTGTCTTTATAGCCCACTATGTGAATCAAAATGTGTTATTAATACATGTTTATTTTCCTGTTTATGACTAACTTGTTCATGTCTGACTTGTTTATTACTAACACAAAAAAATCGTCCATCATGTATAAGCCCCCCCCCCCCGTATATAAGCCCACCCTTGTATAAGCCCACCAAAAATCGCTTACAAAAGTATATAAGCCCAGGGCTTATAGTCGGAGGTTTACGGTACTTTGTTTACTCTGTTTAACACCAGACAATTTTCCTTGTCAAAGGGATTGCTGCCACATAATGGGTTAAACAACTATCAGATTTAGTTATAAGCAAACTTACCTGAACATCAACAGTTCTAGAAAATCCAGATGATTTAACACGCTTTTGAATCTGTCTAGCACCCAAACTTGCAATATTCACTTTACTCTGTAAAAAATATATAATTATTGCAAACCACAATGCATTTGAATGGGTACTGTTTTATTATAGACTATCCATACTCAATGAAGTAATATAAATAAAATAAAGGCTTATTGTGTCTTAATGATAAAACTCTAACCATCAACTATTTGAAACAAAAGTATAAGCAGAACTTAGACATTTGAAGTGAAGGGCCATCCCGACGACAGTCCATCACTCAAAATGTCGAAGATCTGCTTAATTTTTCAGGTAGTTGATGTTCCGTAAAGATTGCTGCTTTTGCTTATTGCTACCTATACTTGCATTGACTGTTCATTTTCCATATGATTGTCATACAAACTAAATTTGTCTCATAGAAATATAGTAGTAGTATCAGCCAATGTAAAACAATAGTAGTCACATATATAAGTTGAGACAAACCTTCAATGGATTATACATGTCTGGGTTGCGTCTGGTAGTGGTACTTCTTACAGAAGTTGGAGAAATACTGTGGAATCGCTCCATTTCAGCAGGACACAGCAACCCTGTTTCAATTTCAAGGCTATCACTTGCTGAAATGGTAGACCACATGTGTGATGCATGCTGGTTACTGACTTTATTGCCAGCGGGATCCTGGACAGAACTATCAGAAATATTCTCCATCACTTCATCGCTTTGGGGATAAGAACAAGAGATGTCATTCTCTACAATCGACAGGTTGTAAATACTCGAGTTAATAAGCTCCAGAGTATCATTGTCAATGTCCAAATCGTCAGAATAAGTCAGGTCAATTGAAGATTCCTGCAATGCTTCTTGAATTATGTTCTGACCAACACTTTTGTCAACAACACCCTGTACAGGCTGCTCGACTGCTTTTTCAACCTCATACTGCCATACTGGTCCTCGATGTAGACAAAGCCATTTGTGCCCAAACTGGGCAAACATTGTTTCCAGCCATGAGGCATAGTGTTCCTCCATTCGGACATTAACTGTGTTCTCGGCAGCAAAAAAACGAATATTGTAGTCTACCATACCGAATGGCATTCTATCCAATGGCATTCTTGAACAAGGACCTTCAAAACATTTACTCAACAGGTAAATAAGATTTTTCTTTTGTTGGTGAAACAAAGT